TAGTGGAGGACTGGTGCATCTTGGGACAGCATAGGTGTAAACAGGGGTAAGGAAAGGGAGTGTCATTATGATTGAGGACACATAGACCAAAGTTAGTTTTCACTAGCATCCTCATGAGGCTGTTTTTTAATTAATCCAGTAGTGAGTCAAATCATAGTCCCCTGCTGTGATAGCATCAGGAGGCAAGGAGAAGGCACCTCCTCCCCATGATGATCCATTTGTCACTCTTATAGTTTCAAAGGGTCTCAATTAGGCAGCCCTTGGCTGGCCTGCAACCAACTCATTCTGTAGACCAGGCTGGGCTTGAACTCACAGAGACAGTCTTGCTTCTGCCTCCCTAGTGCTGGGATTTGAGGTGTGTGCTATTATGCCCAGTTTTACTGTTCACAATCTTAAACACAGTTTTAGAAATGCCTTGAAAACAGACACAAAAGCAGAAACCCAAGTGCTTTTATGAAGGCAGATGCTTGCCACTGGAGTCCTCTGAAGTTCTTGTGTGGTCTGCATTCAGCCATGACTCCTACAAACCCATCTGATGAGTGTGTCCAGTGTCCACAGATTGATTATAGTGGCTGAGTGTCTTCCTGAATGGCAGTGAGCTCAAGAGTCTAAGGTCACAGGTACACCCAGGTAGTGTACAGACTCCTGAACACTCCTCAAGTATCAATACTTGGGTACTGCTCTTTCCATTATCTCCTCAACTCTCATCTTTCTCCTTGCCTTTCTGGGGTCAGTTGGTTTCCTTTCTTGACATAGATAGAATTCTCCCCTGTTCTCTAATACCTGTCTCCTTCTAGTAAATACCAATGACACTAACCCAGGTAGAATGTTGATATTAGTGGTGAGCTTTCCCACCTTTGGTCTCTGTATCCTCATAATGGCTCCTCTACTTAGGGGAACAGTGAATGGAGACACAGAGAGCCATATGGCTGGCCCCATGCCTCGAGATCAGGTCACCTGTTATTCCAGAGTCTATTCCATCCTCTGCCTAAGCAGCCGCATGTTAATGAGCTGACCCATCTTCCAGCTGTGGCTGCTACCATGATGCTTCAGTGATGACTTCTGGCTTAGGGAAAGGGACCTATTTCATGAAATCCTAAGGGAAGTAAATAGAGCCACTGTTTCTAACATGTCTTATTTTACAGCATTGAGTGTCCTGTATCAGTCAGTTCTTAGAAAAGGGCTATTATAATACATGATCATGTTGTGCACATGCATGTGAGGTGTATATACATGTGGAGGTCACCATCAGGTATCTTCCTCAGTTGCTTTCTGCCTTATTTGATACAAGTTCTCACTCTGAACCTGGAGCTTGCCAGTTGGTCTAGACTGGCTAGTGAGCCCCAGGGAGATATTTGTCTCTGTCCCTTAGCTCCCCAGAGCTAGGGGTCATGGGGATACATCACTAGACCATAATTTTTACATAGGTTCTGGGGATCTAAACTTAGGTCCTCATGCTTGTATGGCAAGCAGTTTAGCCATTGAACCATCTCCCAATCCTTTGAGAAAGATTATTGCTTTGAAATTTCCCATGACATTCTCTCTGGAAAGCTTTGCCATGCCTGATCCTGTTGACCTGTTCAGTAAGAGTATTCTCCCATGCTGATACTAACACACACACACACACACACACACACACACACACACACACACACACACACAGAGAGAGAGAGAGAGAG